AGCCATTGGCCTGAAATAGATCGCTTGGGCTCATGGCGGCATCAGGCGCATTTCTGCGGTGACGGAGCTGACGACCCCATCGCACTTTTCTTTATACTAGTTGGGCTGAAGAGGGATGACAAGACGCGTCGGGCATTTCGGAACAGAACTGCCTGTGTTGAAGCCGTGAACAGGGACACGAGCTCTGCGCTTCTTGTAGGATGTGTTTGTTCTTGTTGCCCTGTCCTCTCCAAACACGGAACAGCAAAGTCAATGACTACCCGTTTACCTGTTCCGAAGGCAACTCGTCAACTGAATGAGCTGAACCTGTCACCTTTGCATCTTACCGTTTCCAACTGGGCTGTAGAGTTATTGTCGGGGCGGTCACTTGGAACAGTGCGAAACAACAAGGGGCAAACTTTCACCGGCATACCGACGACACATCGACGTGGATGCGGGTGGGTTGCCCGAGCCAGTGCTTCGTTCCCGACACAGCTTCGAGATCAAAGGCAGGTTTTGCTCCAAGGATGCGGGGGCCGGGTGTGAACGAATGAACCGTCGCACGGTAGGTCCTTACGTTCTTGCGTACTACGCTGGCCCTCTTTGCTGATCTAGAGTCTCGCAACCTTCGGCCACACCCAGTACGTCCAAGGCACATGCCCATCATTCCCGGCACCGGCATTGCACCAGGCATGGAGGGCATGGCAGGCATCGTCCCAGGCATACCGGGCATTGCCATGGGCATCCCCATTGCTGGCGCCATGTTGGGGCAACTCGGCATCGCCGGGACCTGCGCGGTCAACGACCTACAGCTTCGCGCGGGCCTTGAAGGCCCAGTCTCACTTCTTTCTTTGTTGGTCGTGTGGCTCGGCAACTTACGAATTCGGTGAGGGAGCGGGGACGGTGCCTCGACAGGCTCATGTCCGAAACACTGAATGCTTCTAGCCACGTGTTCCCAACAGATCCCACATATTTGTTTCTACACACATATTATATACATACATATATATATTTATATATAAGTATATATATATATATACATAGGGGCCTAATAGGGGCTCAAGGCACTTTTTTTCTAATTCTTGATGTCAAAGACCATCTTCCGCCAAGAACCTTCGAAGATAAACCCTATAGACCCTAAAGCGCATGAGGCAGGCTCCGAACCCTCGAAGACCTGGACTTCCAAGCCTTCAGTTACGAGACTTCAATCGCCAAAGCCGGCCCCAACACCCCAAAACCAAACCCGTGACTTGTGAGTACGATCATGGTTGAGACTGTGGTGGTGCTGCTGATGATGATGATGATACTGTTAAAAGAATGAAAGTTGCGTTGATTCAACAGGCGTCTGGTTCCTTGTCTTGAGGATGGTGTCCATCTAAGTGTAAACCCAAACCGAAAGCCCATCGCTGCACCGCAGCCATGGTTGCCATTGGCGCTGCCGCCGGTGTTTCTCCGGGTGGCTCGCTACCTCAACGATATGACAGCGAAGTATTACGGTTATTCTGGTCTAAGGGTTGAATTGGGTCCTAGCTGGTTTGACGGGGCGTTATAGTGTCTACAAGGGCTTGTAAGCTTTGGGGTTCAAGGGTTTTGGGTGTTTAGAGTTAGCGGAGAAGTCTTGACTTACCGCTTTAGGCCTTAGAGCCTTTGAGTTTGGGGTCTAAGAGTAGGGGTACGCAGGTTGTAGAGAAAGACAGGTCTACTAACCAACGACCCACAATAGGAATACATGCTTCATCGCCACAATGCTAAGCCCAACAGCGGCAATGACGTGCTTTCGTCCCGGAGTGGGCTAGGCACAGCTGCAAGGCGACGGGAACGGGGACCAGGGCTTAGGTTAGGGGCTGCTTTCAGGCACAAAGGTTCAGGTTACATGAGGGTTCTGAGTCCTGCAAGCAGGACTGACATATATTGGCAGGGTTTTTTGGGGAAATTTTAGTAATAATTAATTACAAAAAGTAATACTGCTAGTAAATATCACTCCCCATAATTGCTGTTAGTAACATGATAAGTACTTCAAGGTTTCGGGTGCCATCGATTCTGCCTATGAAAACCGAATCTGAGCTCCTTGATCTTCTTGATGCCAAGGACAAACGACTGCTTCGAGGGCTGGGGGGGGGGGGCGACCCATAAGCATCGCACGCAGAGAACCGAATGTCTTAGAAGCTGCCCCCACCCTGTAATAGTGGTATAATAGGAATATAATAGGGCCCTAATAAAATCCTTATAGTCACTATTACAGGGTGGAGGCAGCTTCTAACGAATGTCCACCAAGAAGCTATCTCCCTCCATGGCTCCGGTGGAGCGTTTCGCCCCTTCTCTGCTGAGCCAGAAGCAAGGCCGGCAGAATGTGTTCAGCGATCTTCAGTTGCTCAGATTTGCTTGCATCGCATCTCGACTGCTGCTCGGAGGTTTATGTACCTGAGTCGTGTTTAATAATTCTAGTACTGAAGCGTCTCAGCCGTCCTTGCCGATGGTCCCGCACCATGTCTTATGTATATTGCCTTAACTCAACTTGCCCAGCAAGCGCCGCTCGCTAACCTCTCTCGCTCTCTCTGCCAGGCATTCGCCCTAAACCCCAAAACCCTGCTCCCATCCACTACACTTTTTCAGTGGCACCCTAAGCCAGGCCGGCCGCCGTCAGCGCATCGTATGCATCCTTGATGCGCTGGAAATCCGCACTTCGAGTCTGATCATCCGGGCGCTTGTCCTTGAAAAGCTGCTCAGATCAGCGCTGAGGGAGGCTTGGGGCTTTAACCAGGGCTTTCGCATTTATTGTTTTAGGATTTAAGCGATTTCGGGTTTCAGGTTTTTACACTCTCACACTCCGGCTCGGAAAAGGAGGCCTTCGATGCGCAGTCACCTTTGAAAGAAGGGCTGCAAAGTGAGCTGATGAATGCATCGACTTAAACCATCAAAACCTACTTCCTGGCAGGGTCCCCGTGCATATTCGATGTCTGCATATGTAGCCTGATGGCGGTTATGTACCACTTTGTGGCATCTGTCGCGTCATGTTGGCTTCTTTCACTCCTCGCAGTATGCATATTCTGCAAAAGATGCCTTCAGGGATCTTCAATGCAACTCCAGGGACAAACTCCAGGCCGCAGGTGGGTTGTGGCCAGCACAAAGTGCCGTCGACTTGCTGCACGGTCACGTGCATCCCCACGTTTTGGGGGTTTGCGGTCAATATTCCTACTATTAGCCTTCTTACCCTCATTACGAGTAAAACGATTATTGTTATTATTCGTATTCGATCGCTGGTCTTTTGTTTACTATTATTCCGAGTTCACACGGGGCTCAACGCTCGCAGGTTCTTCGGGTATTGAATCTCGGAGTGTAGCGACAGCCACCAGAGGCAGAGCAAGGTCGGAGAGGCCACATGAAGTTTGGCCGCTTCGTCATGCAACATCTAAAAACAGGCAAAGCCTTGGAAGCTCCAAACGCAATTCATGTCAAACTCCAGCTTGGTGGACGCGGGCGCTTCAGGATTCCTGCATCTCCAAATGTGAAACCCACCCTGAAGCAAAGCCACTAGTGATGCGCGTGATGAATCCCCGACGCCTTAATTAAACGCTCCACACACTTAAAATGGCTCAAGCAAGCTGAGGCACGGGATGATACTTCAAAGCAAGACTTCCTCGGTGTTAGATCCGACAAGCAGCTGTTGCACCAAGGACACACATAGGCGAGCTTTGTATGTCTTATTACAAACTGTATTATTGAGATTACAGGTGCCCTACAACAAAGCAGGCTTTGGTAGTTCCAGAAACATCTAGAGCATTAGAAGAGACATGCGGCCATGAACCATAACCCTTCCACTCGAAGAAATTGGTGGGGAAAACCCTTTTTCAGGACGGGCTTTGTGTGTGTGTGTGCCAGCAAGCTGGAACCTTATGGTCTTCATAGGACATCGGCAAACTTGAAACTCGAAACTCAACTCGAAACTTGTGGGAAAACCCTCACTTCATAACCTCCCATATTAACCAAACCCTGAACACTACGTACCCATACGCCCTTATAAGCCATAAACTCTGAACCCTAAACCTCTAGACCCTCATACCCTAAACCCTAAGCCAACGAAACCCTAAACCCGTAAAGCCTCAAATGCAAAGGGGCGGAAGGCGCGTTTCACCGCTTCGGCCGTTGCAGGCGCCTTTAGGCCGAGAGTGGCCAAATGTTGGCGCACCGAAGCCTCCTGGAGCTATGGATCTCCAAAAAGCTTTGTTTTTCTCAATCTGTGTATACATATGTATATACATATATATATATATATATATATGTGTGTGTGTGTGTGTGTGTGCGTGCATGTGTGTATATGTGTATGCTATGTGCATATATATATATATATATATGTATATATGTATATGTATACACATAAACATATGTATGTCTATATTCGCTCTCCACAGCGTCAGGCGAGTCTTCAGGGGAGCTTAGACAACACGGATATCTGCTCATAGCGAAGCGAGTCACCCTAGATGCTTTGGGAGGTTTGGGTTGATGGTTTTTGGAGCCAATGACGAACATTTTGGAATCCGTCGAAATTCAAGTATTTCAGCTTCAGCATTCACAGCTAAGCAATGCCTGGCGAAGCTTATGATTTGGCGCGTGTCTGCCAAATAAACGGGCTCTCTTTGCAGCCTTTTGCCCCTTCTCTCTAGGCGGAGCAGTCTGCATGGAAATGACTCTCCATCATTCGGAGCTGAGGGCGCGAGCCGGCACCGTGGGCAGCGAGGCTGCCAAGCTCAAGGTGGGAGTTCACCGTCTCTTGCACTCAATTTGGGCGTCGGGCTTGTCAGAATTTCGACTGGGCAGACACTCACCTTGATCTTCTGGCGCAATGTGCCCAAAGAACTGTACAGCGTTGGGCACGCTGCCGCCCACGGATATTGGCGTCGCGTTGCATCCGATCAGACATTCGACAACAACCTGAGCGCCCTCCCTTCCACAGATTATCAGAATCGTTGCGCTACAACCGAAACCCCAAATCCCAAGATGCACCACTGTAGGTCTCAGTTACCCTACTGGCAACACTTGGTTGCAGAGATCCCGTGGCCAGGTCCCAAGATCATCCGCGGCGGAGTAGCAGACGGCAGAACTTGCATTGAGCCTCGGTCTTTGATCTCCTTGGCCATCTTTGCCAAAGCCTCGTTGACGTTGTGGCCGCTCTTGGCACTGGTCTCCAAATAGCACAAGCCGAGCTCATCTGCAAGCTCATGGGCCTCGTCGTAGGTAACTGCCCTGTTGGACATGTCGCACTTGTTGCCCGCAAGCAGCTTGCTGATCCCGGGCTCAGCATACTTGTCAATCTCCTCCAGCCAGTGGCGAACGTTGTGAAAGGACTCGCGGTTCGTAAGGTCGAAGGCCACGATGATCCCATGCGCGTCTTTGTAGTAGCTGGCGGCCATGGTGCGAAATCGCTCCTGACCGGCAGTGTCCCAAAGCTGCATCTTGGCCTTCTTGCCATCCAGCGACATGGTCCGGCTACGGAAGTCGATGCCGCAGATGAAATCAAATATTGGGCCATCAGAGTACTTGTCGTCTGTAAATCGCAGAATGAAGCTCGACTTGCCCACGCCGTAATCCCCGATCAGCTTAACTCGGAAGAGGTAGTCAGGGCCGCTGGAAGCCGGCTGCGCAACGTTTGCCATTTCGTCAGCAAGGAAATGTGCAACTTCGAATCTTGCTGCACTTTGGAGATGTGGGGCCTGGCTGGTTTGAGCCCCACATGCCAGTATAAATGTCTGAGGATCGGGCTGAGGTAATACAGGGGCCCTGATAATTAGAATAGGGTTTTCGGGCCCATTGTACTATAGCTGTAAGGAACCCCACCATAGTATAGGTATTAATTCTCTCACTCTCTCTCTCTCTTCTTCTGCAGGGCTTGGGGAGCGTGCATGGGGACCCCCATGTGTCATGGTGCTTTCGGCAAAGAAGTCCCCCTGATGTGGCAACGTAATTATATTGGACTCTGAAAATTCAGGGTTCCTCAGTTGTTGGATTGACACATGCGTTTCAGTCCCCCGTGTCCCCCTTCTTCGCAGTATAGATTTATGTAGATGCAACCGGTAAAAACAGTACTGCGCTAACACTCGATTGAGGGCACGTGCTCGACCGCTCCACGGTCGCAAGTCGTGTCTGCTTTGGTCTGCAGTTCCTCAACCGTGGATAAAATTGTTGCAAGCCTTGCGCTCTCTCTCTCTCTCTCTCTATCTGCTTCCTCTCTCTGTGCCTTGCCATCATCAAGAGTCTCGCAATGCAAGGGCATGAAATCGCAGGCTAGAATTTCAGGAGGCATAGCGCGAACGCAGAACCTCCGTCATTCTTCGTAGGTATTTATTTAGGCCCTGTATTAGGAAGTCAGGAGTCAGTCAACAATCCCGATGAATCAGCAGGTGCATCTCGACTTCGCCAGCGCATGCCCACCCTACAAACAGGGTTTTTGGCAGTTGAAGGTCGTAAACCCTCGGGAAAACCGGCTCCTTTTGCAACTCCTCGAACCAGCCCCTACTAATGATTGCTTAGCAGGTCTCTCCATGGACACCACAACACCCACCCAAGTGATATAAGGCTCTAAACAGTCCTCTACAGGTAGGAAGCAATCACGATCCGAGCGCTCTCAGCTCTTCTTAGATTTACTTATCAAAGGTCATGACCCCACTGCAACATTAATGAAATCTGCAAGTCGTTTGCCCATGCGCCTCCCGAGCGGGCTGATGAACTTCTCGTCTCTTTGGCCGGATGTAGCCATTAGAATAGAAGTACCTCAGGTTTCGGGACGGATCGACTGCCACCATACAGTAGGTAACCCGAGCAACCCAAGCCCGAAGCTCCAAATCGTAAAGCTCACCCCACCCACAAGCAATCAGGGCACCGAAGTCAAGTATTGTTGCAAGGAGTGATGCGTCCCGTTCCCAGGGGCTGCTGAACCAAGAGCCACTGCTGTGCTACTTGTAGCGGCTGCTAGCGGCTGGCGGTCTCAAAGCTCGATGCGCCGAGACGGTCTCGAGTTTACTGCTGTAGGATCTGAAATCCTGATGTTCAAGAGGTCTGAATCCCACATCTTTGGACTACTGGTGGGGAACATTGCAGGTTGTTTGCTTTAGCTCGGGATGCGTACATATCCCAGAGCCTTCAAACTTGCCTGTGCCGCAGCAGAAGAAGGGCAAACACGATCTCCGTATAACTCTCTTATAAGCATATTCCAATCCCCCAAAAAAGCCTCCCACGTGCCACCAACCCTGAACTTTCCACAAGCCTGGGAACCAGATATCTGGGTACATATTATACAATACTTTATAGATAGAAGCCTCTGCACGGTCTGAAGGAAATCCACATTTTCCCGGACAAGAAAAGGCTCCGAGACGATACAACACCGAATCTCTACAAGCCAGAAGGCACTCAACTATGGTCATGAGTGTACCCTCTCTCTCGCCCTCGATATACATATACATACCCTTTACGCACATGTACTGAGTTCATACGTTTATACACCAGAAGACTGATTATGCCAACACCGCTTGACAACAACTCGCCCACCTGTAATATGGGAGCCTTAATAATTAGAATGGGTTTTTGGGGTGATGCGGACCAGCGGTCATGATCATATGAAGCACGGTCAGGTTCATTGCCTGCTCTATGGAATTGAAACATGTGCGCCCAAAAAGCGTCACCAAAACAACAGAGGGACCCCGACATCCCTACTAATTAGAATCCCTTTCAGTCACCTCTTTGCGACGAGAAAGCACTCGAGCGGTGCCAGCGCAGGGTTTCTGGGGTCCTGATCAATATTTAGGCCCCTAAAGTAAACCCCCATGATACCCTTAAACTAATCCTTGTAGATACTTTAAACGGAACCCTTAAAGGAACCCTATAGGTAGTTACTTAAGAATTAGGCCCCTAATCAGAGAACCCTGTACCCCTCAATTAAGGATTCTACCTTAAATTAGAGGGGGCTTCATATGGTATATTCCGTAATCAGGGGGAATTGGGAGCCGGAGCGCTGCTTCAGCTCCTGCTCGGACCAGGTTTCCGCCTCGAGTCCCGGCATTTCGCCACAGAAGCCGGGGAACTCCTGGGGCTCAATTGTAGGGGCAAAGGTTTCGGGTTTAGGGCTCCCTCCTACTTAGCCAAGAGGAAGCAAGCATTGCAGGGTTAAGTTGGCAATAGTGAAAACCCAATTATACGGTTAAGGGTTTAGGGTCTATAGATCATAATCGCTCTAGCTTGCCGATGCGATGAGCATCACTCGTGATTTTTTCGTGTTTTTTTACAATTTACTGCTGTTGTCAAAACCGGCTGTTTGCGGAATGTAGTGGCAGCATCAACTCCCGCGGTCCGTAAGGATGGGAATGGTAAGAAATTGTGGACTATAAGCACCCTCAAGAATTGACAAACACTGAGGGTTCAGGGTTGAAGGTTTGGTTTAGGTCTCGAATTGTTCAACTTCCTGGCAACACTCAAAAGTTGCGGGTCCGGGATGGCCGCGGCTCAAATCTTGAGCTTCACGGCTCAGGCTTCAGGGTTTTGTGTCTACGCTTTGGGATTAGGGGCTCCTGTACTATGTTCTCATATGTGTGCTTTAACTTGAGCGGCTGTTTATTTTGCATGCTTATCGGTATTCTCCTGAGGGTCGCCGCCTGTAGATGATTCGAGGGTCTGCGACTTTGAACCATGCCTGAAAGTTGTTCGGCGTTGCGTTGCTCACCGGTAGGTCCGTCTGTGTACTCTCCTTCTGTCTCTGTCTCTGCACCCTGTGTACACAATGCATTGAAGTATTTAGACACGTTGACATGCTTTATGCACGCAAGCCCAGGGAAGCCGAACACGCAACCAATACAAGGACATGCATGCCTGAACGCACGAACTCTGATGCACGGAACTCTGATGCATGCACACACAGAGGCACGTCTGTGCATATGTGATCGCATGTGCTCATGCATGATCACGTATCCATGTATGTAGGTTTATAGCAATGTATGCATGGATCGTTGGTGAATCATGTAACTATGTATGTAACAATGCATGTATCTATGTATGTACGTACTTAAGTATCTACGTACATATGTATGTACGGGAGTAAGTACGTATGCGTGTCTGTATGTAGCAATGACATGCATGCATGGATGCATGTATGTTGTCTGCTGAGCATACATCTGGACGATAAAGTTGTAGCAACATGTGACATGTGCATACAAGCTTGTCAGCCTTTCATATACAGCCTTGCACGATCTTTCTAAGCCTTTCATAGCCAAAGATCCGGCTAACCGATCATGCCTCAATCCTCTACAATCCATCTCATCATGAAGCCTGCAACCAAAAACCTCGAAACCTCAGAGAATCCAAACAGCCGCGGGAGATGAGAATAACACAAAGGCAAAGCTATGCCGTGGTGCGCTTACTGCCCTTTGTCTGCCTAACTTGCCGAGCCAGGTTTAGGGATGCTTCTCAATGCCTTCACAGTCCATCATGGTATGCCAGCTTGTGTTTTTCTGGTGGACTGGCATTGCACATCTGTCTCCGCTACGAGACATGGTGCAAAACTGACACTACACATTGGAGAGTTCACGTCCTATCTATCATCCTTGCCCAGGCATCTTGACGGCGTCCATTCGCAAGGTGTCTCAACATTAACATCACCTCTCGAATCCCTAAAGATCCCTAAAGCCTAAATCCTAAACCCTTCTGCTTGCCCAGCACTCCTGGAGTAGCCGACGAACTCGCGGCCCGGCAGCTGTCTGTCGGTCGCCTGTGTCCTGTGGTTACTGGTATCTAATCTAAACTTATATACACTTATTGTTATCAATATAGAAAAAAAATGTCACTGTTGCTAGCGTTTTTACATGGTATAGTAGAGTCTACGATATAAGAGACAATAACCCACACGAGGCTCATCGCAGTGGCATTCTTTGGCTTAGTCAGCCGCTTAGCTGCGACGGTCCACAACATTTTTGTGTGTTGCATCGCTGCGCAATATCCATTTGGGGCTAAAGTTACGGTATCGGTAAACTCTCTACCATAATCTATGCCCCTTTTTGCACGCCTGGGTCTATGCATAACCCTTCTGTGATTATGCTCAGGCTCTTGCTCCTATATTCCTGTGCAGCGGGGCTCTCGTTCAATCTGAAGCTTTTGGATTCGGGGCCTGAGCTTCCTCTTCCTTGTGCTCTGGCGCAGGGCGCGGAGGGGAGCGAGCCTGCAAAGCTGTCGGACTGCCATCCTGGCTAGCTCAAAAACTTAGGTCAACGTGTCCTCAGCACTGAGCGGCTCGTGCCCTGGAGTCCAAGGGGTCCTAACTTGGGGGTCCACCCTGCCATACAGGAGAGCAGAGCGAAGCTTCCTCTTGAGCTTTCCAGAGAAAACAAGAAACACGACGGCCCGTGCCTTCGGCCGTGGAGGCGGGCGAAAGCCGGTAGAACCTCTTGCAAAAGAGATTCCATCGCTTCGATTCAAGAGAACGACAGGATGCTCCCCTGCAAGCACCAGGAAGCCTGCACAACGAAACTTCTCGTACTAGAAGTTCTAATGAGACATTGGGTTATGTTTCAAGCTCGACATGGCCTGGCGGTTTTCCAGTCAGGCCTGGCAAATCAGACCTTAGGAACTGTAGGATCCGGATCGCGCAAGAGGCCCCTCGCCCGAAGAAAGAAAG